ACAACAAGCTGTTGGCTCTCCGGCTCATGAGTGATGTGTCAGGGGTCTCGCGCCTGAAACCCAGGTCGGTCTGTCGAGATACTCAGTGACTATCAAACTGTGTGACAGCTATTGTCTCAGTATTGGTCTCGACGAGCTATGTCACTTGGTGACTATCAAGTTGCATGATGACAGCAGGTGGCATTCGTTGTATCTACTATCATAGGTTTCGGCTGACCTCTGTGGACACTCTGTTCAGGGGTAGCTTGGCATGATCAATACCAATACATAGGTTATGATGACACCAAGGTCTGGTGTGAGTGTTGATGATGATGAGGTTGATGGTGTTGGTGATAAGGTTGGTGAGTGTTGATGATGATGAGGTTGATGGTGTTGGTGATAAGGTTGGTGGCGTCAACACGAATTGGTAAAGACCTCTGCCACAGTACTCAACAAAGATGGTGCCTTCTGGAGAGAGAGGGCCAGAGCAGAGTTGCAGGCAACACTGCAAAGATAAATATAAACCATGCTGTCTTGTCATAAGTGGTTGAGTGGATCTCCATCCACTCTACACCATACATAACTAGTTATCACTTTAAGCATAAGTATACATTAGTTCAGTCAGTGAAGTTGCAATCTAGTAGATTGCTTCCATTGTAGTGAGTGTGTTGTATCACCACTCACTGACATCCAAAGGCAGTTGATAGCAAACCAGCAGTCCAGATAACAATAGAACTGAAGGCAGTTGTCCACTGCAGTCCAGGGATCACCTCAAGCATTCAGTTGACACACTGGACACTTGTGTCAGCAACATCAACAATCTCAATCACACCAGACCTTGGTGTTAGTACCAGTTCATAACAGTTATTGATCATGCCAAGCTACCTCTGGATGGAGTGTCCACAGTGGTTAGTTGGAACCTGCAATAGCAAAACCACTACTACATCTTCAGGAAAGAAAAGTGATAGAAATGTCTCTACTACATATCTTGACAAGAACAGTAATACTTCAAGTGTTGTCACATATCTTGACAGGATTCATAATAGATGCGTTTCTATTACAGATAACAGGTTTTGGGCATGCGACCTCTGACAGCGTGTGGCGGCACCTGGGGCATCACTAGTGAGCCGCTGTGCGAGCAACTTGTTATATGCTTCCATCCTGGCTTTATGAGGATTGAACTGTTCTGCTAGGCATTAGGTGAAGTAGTGCCAGTCATGGAACAGCCACCCTTCTTGTGCTTGGTCAATGTGGAGCTTCGAGGTCCACCACTCATGAGCATTCCCTTCCAATTGAGCACCCATATGATTGATCATGTGAGCTTGCTCATATACCTGGTTGAATTTGAACCAAGCTTCAGCCTTGAGAATGAAGATCTCAACATCTCTGGGATTGAACTTGGGGAAGGGGGTGGCAATTGGCTTTGATCATGAGAGGCTGGGGTCTCCCGTTGTGCTAGCATTGTCCTCTTGCTCTAGGCCATAGGGGTCTGTCCTTGGCCTGTTGTATGGATCCACCCAGGGTTTGAAGTATCTAGGCCTGGTGGGGGATGCATACTTCTCATAATTGATGCCAGGCAGTTTGTTTGACTCAGTGAATGACACTGACCACCTTGGTCATGATGCCAGGGATGGCATGGGAGGGTCTCCCATCATATATTCATCCCCTCCTGCCTGTTCCTCTGAGTGAGGGAATATGACCATATCCTCTTCACTCAGGTGAGCATGGTGTAGGTGCTCATCATGTTGGGCTTGTCTGGAGAGCTCCAGCTGAGCCTCCACTAAGGAGAGTAGCCTCTTAACCTTGTCATGCAGGCTCTCGTCTGTCATGTTGATCATGGGGTGCTGCTTGAATGATCCACTATAATGTCAGAGGTCTTGTGCCTAAAACCTGATATCTGTGACAGGAACATGTCTATTATGAATCCTGTCAAGATATGTGGTAATGTCTTGTGTATTGCGATTTCTATCGGGGTATGCTGTAGATATGCCTCTATGACTTTTCTCACCTGAAGATGTGATAATGTGATTGTTACTGTAGGTCTCAACTAACTGCTGTGGACACTCCATCCAGAGGTAGCTTGGCATGATCAATAATGCTGAATGTATTGCGAAGACACCAAGGTCTGGTGTGATTGAGATTGATGATGTTGTCAACACAAGTGTCCAGTGTTTCGACTTAGTGCTTGAGGTGATCCCCAGACTGCAGTGGATGACTGCCTTTGGTTCTATTGTTATCCGGACCGCTGGTTGCTATGAACTGCCTTCAGACGTCAGTGAGTGGTGATACAACATGTCATGGGCCTGGATGCTCAAGAAGCAGGAGGGTCACTGGTTCATATGGAAGGAGCACAGGTATCGAAGATCTAGTCGATACCAGTAGAGAGCATGGTCGTAGTGCAGTCTCCATGGAGACCATGGACTTCTATGGACTCACATGCAAAGGAGGATGTCATGGGCCTAAATCAACCGCAACATAAGAGCTTGCTGCCATTACCCGAAGTCAGGCTTTAAAGTATATAACAGCAATGTAAGCGGTCGCGCGCCAGAGACTAGTTTTGGGTGTTATTTGTTCAGTATAGATGGGGTTGATTGAGTAAGGTCTACTTGGTATGTTTTGACTTAAAATGTAACCAGATGTCTTCGACTGGTAAGTCTCAGCTGACTGCCTTGAACACTCCATTCAGAGGTTGTGTGGCATGTACACTGTTTGTTGGAGAGTGAGTGATACCCTCTCCCTACAGTATGAGTGTTTGCAGTACTGTTGATAATGCTCTTGGATGTTGTCTGGACCATGATATGTTAATTGCCTACAGAGAATGGGAGTTACTGGACTGCAGGTGTGAGTCACCACCTACAATAACTAACTGGACTGCAGGTGTCAAGCAACACCACCTACAGCAAGGGACTGGACTGCAAGTGTTGAAGAACACCACCTACAGTAAGGCACTGGACCACAAGTGTTGAAGAACACTGCCTACAGTTGAGAACTGGACTGCAAGTGTCTGGAAGACACTGCCTACAGTTGATGCCTAATGGTGATACAACACACATGTTTGAGGGTCATTGCAAGAGCACTGCTATTGCAATGGTACAAAACTAAGAGTCAAGTAAGTAAGTAAGTAAGTAGCATGTAGAGTGGATGAGGATCCACTTGTATGCTATGGTGAAATGAGAGTATTTATGCATTTGATTGGTGTCACCTGTGACACCTATCCCATTCCTCTTGAGGGGCCTTTGTCCCCTGTTTGACACTGTCTCTCCTGCTGGTGTCAATCCCATTGATGCTGCACCCCTACCATTTGCACAGTGTAATGGTTATGCAACACTGCCCTTTTGCCTTCATGCTCCCTTTCTGCCTGATGATGTGTGACAACCCCTTCAACACAGCTCCTCCTCTTTGTTTAACCAATCTCCATTCACAGCTCCTTCTCTCTTTACTGGCGACCACCTTCTTGACCTTAACTTGTGAATCCCCTTAGCCACCTGTTGGACCTTGTGACCAAACCCCTTGGTCATGTGGTCACCCCCTGTGCTTGGTCCTGTGTGGCTATATGCATGCACCCTTCAAGCAGTAACTGTCTGTGTGATGCTAAGCTCAGTACCCCACTCCTGCATGTGGTTATCTCCATATGCTTCTCCTTCTAATGCCAGTACCTTCCTTCCTGAATCTCCTGGTACTTGCTTGTATTGGCTGACTTGCTGAGGCATGCTGATCTGGCTGATTCTGATCAATCCTTGTGAGATTAACCTGGAACCCAGAGTTTGGTTGATCTTGTAAATCATATGCACTACCAGCCTGCTTAGCTCTGTCAATCCCCAATGATTTGGCACTGATCAACTTGGCACACCCTTCGTATGTTGATCTGCTGATCCTGTGCGACATTACCATGAATGCTGTCAGTCAATTTGGTGCACCCTTCTTGCGCTGGCCCGCTGGCCCTGTGACAAGCAACTCCTGTCTGAGATTGCCCTGTGTCTGCCTCTTCTCTCATCCTCCCACACGACCACCTGCCACACAAGATGACTTATAAGCCTCACTGACGAATTCCAGACAAAGAGCGAGTGCTCGCCGGCTACAAGGTGAGTCTCTATTCAATCGCTGATAGCAAGCCCGGTCGAAATGGTGACTGACTCTATCATTTGCTTCCAATCTGTGCCAAAACTGGTCTCGTGATCGTTGTGATATCACACAGTCGGCGCTTAACAATCCTTCGTACTACAACAATTTCACCATGGCATCCGACCTGCCAGTGACTGGCAGAAGCCGTCATCGCTGACACAATTCTTGCTGTACTTTTGTGACCCTAATTTCCGCCTCAAATATTTACCGGCTCTCTGTGCTACCCTTTTGCTGCCGACTTTGAATGAATAGCGAGGCCGTGTCAAGAACGCCTTGTTCTCTACCAGCTTTGATACCCGCGTTCGCGGGACGTTGGATCTCAGGGCCAAGAAGAGGCGATAGATGTGAATGGTCGAGCCGCTTTGACTAGCACAGCTCCCCACCCGCTTATGTAATTCCTTGGATACCCGTAGCTCACATGATAATCTTCGATATGAATTACATTGACTTGTTCACTACAGTTGTACTGGCTGCTGCTGTGACAGTTTGATAGTCAGTGAAGCAGCGAGCGAGGTGTCGTCGTATGGTCACATGTGCTAACTGTAGTGAGGTCTGAGGAGAGCTTTGGGCGGCGCAAATTCGAGGCGAAAAGTAGTGAGAAATGATGCAACACGTTTCGTTCATGCGCATGCCAATCACTCAATTCAGGGTCCGTGCGATTCCCCACCGCGCTCTGCCACACTGCAACACAGCAACCCTGCGTCTTTCCAGTCCTTGCTGCCCCGCACTTTTTGGTGGGCAATGCCGAGTGCAGTGTGTGCAACATGTTCCAGCGTCCCCTTGAGTACGGCCCCCGTCAAAGCAAGGAGGTTCGCACTATATAACAGCATATTTCCTTCTGTCTCTCCTCCATTCCACTGAACACCATCAACTCCCGCCTTTATCCCAATACTGAAGCCATGTGTCAACACGGCGGGCCGCAAAGCTATCCCACTTACGCCAACGCCGAGCCTCGACCCGTGCGATCCGGTCTCATCCGTTCCGTTCACGAGCGTCGTCTCGAAGAGTTCGTAGGCGGTCAATTTGGCGACTACAACCTCGCATCAGTCCTCTTCGAAGGTCGTACCGATGATGACAAGCACGTCTCCATCCAGAGCTGGACACCTAAAGCTGGCACCAAACCCACTTTCGACGAAGCTAAACGTCAGACCTACACCAAGGCCAAGAAAGGTATCAAGTTCGGTCCCAGCTGGACGAATCACTGGCTGAAGCTCAAGCTCAACGTGCCCAAAGAATGGGTCAAGAAAGAATGGGTTCAGCTCGAATTCGATCCTGGCTGCGAGGCTATGATCTACAACGAAGATGGTCTGCCGTTGCAGGGTATCACTGGTGGATATGAGGATAAGCGACGTGTTGATTTCCCGCTCAAGCCAGAATACCGCAATGGTGTGCTGTTCTACATCGAGGTCACGGCCAACGGGATGTTTGGTCTGCCTGCTGACGGTACTGGTGACCCTGATCCGAACCGATACTTCGAGCTCGAATCTTGCGACATCGTCGTGAAGCGAGCTGAGGCATGGAAGCTCTTGTGGGACTTTGAGCTGCTCCAAGGCTGCGTCAAGAACCTTGGCAGGGACACTGAGCTGCAGAACCGCGCTCTTTGGGTCGCCAACCAGATCCAGAACACCTTCCGCAAGGCTGATCTCGATAGCATTCCCCGATGCCGCAAGCTTGCCCAAGAAATTCTCGGCAAGAATTGGGAAGACAAGGTTGACTCCATCTACGATCAGGACGTCGTCGAGGGCAGAGAAGATGTCCGCATCTGGAGTCTGGGTCACAGTCATATTGATAGTGCCTGGCTTTGGCCTTACTCTGCCACCCAGCAGAAAGTCGCGCGTTCGTGGTCTACGCAGATGGATCTCATGGACAGATACCCAGAGCACCGCTTCACCGCCTCTACTGCTCAACAGTACCAGTGGCTCGAGACGCTCTACCCGGACCTGTTTAAGAAGCTCAAAGGCTACGTCAAAGATGGTCGCTTCCAGCCCATCGGAGGCTCATGGGTGGAGTGCGATGCCAACATGCCTTCCGGTGAAGCTTTTGCTCGCCAATTCCTCTACGGGCAGCGATACTTCCTCTCTCGCTTCGGCAAGCGATGTGATATCTTCTGGCTCCCTGATACTTTCGGTTACAATGCTCAGATTCCCCAGCTCGCCCGCCAGTCAGGTTGCGATTACTTCTTCACGCAGAAACTCAGCTGGAACAACATCAACCGTTTCCCACACAACACCGTGATGTGGGTCGGTCTCGACGGAACGCAGATCATCGTCCATATGACCCCGGTCAACAACTACGACTCCAAATGCTCTGTCGAGGAGATCGTACGTGGTATCAAAAACAACCAAGATATCTGGGTGCAGCCTCACGCACTGATGCTCTACGGGTTCGGCGACGGCGGTGGAGGACCCTCCGAAGTCATGGTTGAGCGTCTGCGACGTGCTCGAGCCGCCAACAACAATGGGTTCAAGGACATGCCTCGCGTTCACTGCGGTCGATCGGCAAAGGACTTCTTCGAGCATGTTCGCGAGGTGACGGAAAATGGTCGTCGCTTGTCGACTTGGTCGGGTGAGATCTATCTCGAGTTCCATCGCGGTGTGTACACATCTCACGGTTCGATCAAGCAGTGGAACCGAAGATTCGAGGCGTTTATGCAGAAGCTCGAATGGCTTGCCACGCTTGCTTCGATCAAGGCGAGTGGGTACAGGTATCCCAAGGAAGAGATCGATGCTATTTGGGAGCCGTTGCTATTGAACCAGTTCCACGATTGTTTGCCCGGTAGTTCGATTCGTAAGGTCTATGATGATCTGGAGGAGATGTATGCTGATATGGCGGTCAAGGGCCAGAAGCTCTGGCGCCAGGCTTTGAATGCTCTCGGTGTCGGTGGGGAAGTTGTTGGTGCGAGCAAGAGCGCCTACGCGGCTATCAACACTCTCGATTTGCCACGTCGAGAGCTTGTTGAGGTAGAGCTGGGTAGTTCGATGCCCCGTGCCGAGGCTATTGTGCTCTCTCATCAGTCCATGCAGCTCTGCAGGGCTGGTCAGAGCGCTTTGCTTCTTCTCGAAGACCCTACCGGACGAGGCCAAGCTACTGTAGTCGACAACCAGAGTGTGTCACTTCAAGATTCTCAGACAGTAAAGGCGGAGCAACTCGACCACAACTCCTTCCTCCTCCAGTCCCCCGCTATCGCAGTCAAAGTCTCCAAAGGCCGTATCACTTCCATCTACGACCGTCTTGCCGATCGCGAACTCATCGAGGGCGGTCGCACAGCAGGTCTCGCCATCTCAGAAGACTACCCTCCTCAATTCGACAACTGGGAGACCGAACTCTACTCTCTCGACACAGAGGAAGAAATCACATTCACCAACGTTCGTATTGCTGAAACTGGGCCTTGGCGCGCTTCTCTCGTTCTCGAGGCCAAGTTCAGTAAAAGCACGGTTCAAATCAACATTGTTCTCGACGCTGTTCCCGCTACGCCTCTTCTCAAGGGCGATGACGCTCGACCTCTGTTGAGATTCGACACCCAAATTGATTGGTGGGAGAAACACTGTTTCCTACGATTCAGCATCCCCACCCGTCTCCGCTCAGACTCTGCATCGTACGAAACTCAATTCGGAATCACCAAACGTCCCACAACTCGCAACACCAGTTGGGAAGCAGCCAAATTCGAAGTTTGCGGTCACAGATTCGCCGATCTCTCCGAAGAAGATTACGGGTTGTCGTTGCTTACCGAGAGTAAATATGGGTATAGTGTAGAAGGAGGGTTGATGAGGCTGAGTTTGTTGAAGGCGGGTACTTTTCCGGATGCACACGAGGATGAAGGTTTGCATAGGTTTGCTTTTGCGCTTTATCCTCATGTTGGTGGTGTGGGGAGAGGGAAGGTGGTGCAGGTGGCAAGGGCATTCAATGTTCGCTATGATATGGATTATGGTCGACAGTATCAGGTCGACATTTCCACTCTTGAACGCAGCTCTACCGCCACGGTTTCGGCTGATCTCCAGATGCCCATTTCCATCGTTGACACCACCCGCGCTGGCGTTGTTATCGACACGATCAAGAGAGCTGAAGAGGACTTCGAGTACTACGGTCAGAAACCGAAGGATCCCGAGTCGTTCAGCATCATCGTCAGGCTCTACGAATCGCTCGGAGCTCATGCCAAGCCAACCATCAAGATTGGATTGCCCGTCAAGTCTACCGCCATCACGAACCTTCTAGAGGACGTGGATGAAGATAAGTCCAGAGATCTCGGCTTAGGCACTTACTCGGATGAAGAAGATACCACCTACGTTCAGCTAGAGTTGAATCCGTTCGAGATTAAGACTTTCAAGATTACGCTTTAGATTCGCACAGTAGAAAGTATCACTATTTTGTCAGTGGTCCTTAGATTCATGTTCAATGTTCAAGATTCGTCAAACAACCTGGCTAGTGTTTGGGCAAAGTGAGGTTGAGGCAGATTTTGCAAGGGGCAATGTGATGATAGCACAGACGGGAGCATCTAGGTGGCATGGGGCAACGCCAAGCATTGATCGAGATTGAGATGGAAAACGAATGTGAAAGCAACAGAGGGAGGTAAAGGAACAAATGAAAATCACACGATCGAGGACGACAAAAGTAGCGAAGACACTTGAAAATTTTCGACTCAAGCACACTCGAAAGAACTAGCGACGCCAGTGTCGCCAACCGCACCCTTCTTCAGACGAGCCTCCGTGGGGTAAGGGCAGAGAGGACGAGTGAAGCGCAACCCATTACCGAAAGCCGTATCGTCACTGTTACTAGTCGGGGTACCACCATTCTTGTTCTTGTACGCAGCACCAATAAGCGCGGTCGGAGCTTTACCGAGTTCGACCCAGTCAATGAGCGCAAGGAACATATCATGCTTGTTGTCGTATCTCAGAGGACGGCTGCCAGCTTCGACCTGTCCAGCACCACCAAAGTTGAAGCATCCTGTACCGCTTCGGCAGTGAAGCATACCTGGGATCATGTAGAGTCTGTAGCTGTCCTTGATTTTGTTACCGACTTTCTTCTTGACCATCTCGTAGTAGCGAGAGGAGATGAGGGGAGGGATGAGAGCGTCAGCTAGACCGTGGTAGTGCATGAGCTTGCCCCCTGCGTCGAAGAAGGGGCTGAGGTCGGGGTTGAAGGTGATGGTCTCGCCGGGATCGGAACGCTCGCCTTGCACGATGAGGGCTGGAGTGACGTCTTTTCCTGCATCGAAGCTGTCCTCGTTGTAGACCTTGTCTCCCATCACTTGATAGTGGAACCAACCGGAGGGTGAAGGACCGTATTTACCAGTGATGGCATTGATCTGGCTCCAGCCGAATTCGCTACCTGGCAGAACACCTTCATTGATGAGCTGACCGTCGATCGTGTAAGGCTTGTAAAGGTTGGCCAAGGTCTCGAGCTGAGTATCGGTGAGACACTGTGGAGCGTCCTCCTTATTCTTACTGCCCTTCTTGCCGTTGTTCGCACCCGAAGCGTCCTTGACCGGCTTGGTTTTGTCGTCAGCAAGCTTGACGACAGCAGCCTTCATAGACGAGTTGTCGCCGGCAGGCACTTCGATCTCGCTTCCCTTCGTGGTAGCATCGGGGGTAGTGGGTTTTGTGGCATCGGCAGGCGGCTTCCTAGGCTCCACAGGAGGCTCCGAGGTGACACCTCTGGGTAAGATGGGAGTCTTCGGATCTTTCCGAGACACCGCTGTTCCCCCGTTTCCAGGGCTAGGGTTACCTGACAAGCCTGGACCGGGAGCTGCCTTAGACTCAATGAGGTCCGAGACCCCAAGGGGCTTAGCAGCTGTACTTACCTGCTTGGCTGTGCCTTGCGAAGTGTCTTTGAGGTTGACAGGGGTCAGACCGAGACTCTTGCAGCCAATGAGCTTAGAAAAGTCAGGCTTGCACTGCCGAGGGAAGGACACAACCCTGTCGGCAACACCATCCGCTTTATCACAAGACTTGAGCACAGCCTGGTTGATGAGCGGATACGCCTCCTGAGGGATGTAGCCGGCGCTAGTGTTGACGGCCAAAAAGCTGTTGATGTGGATCTGAAAGGCCTTCAAGTGGTTGAAGTCAAATGCGGGACTGCCAGCAATGATGCCATCGAAGTCATGAGGGTACCTTTGAGCAGCAGCCATAGCAGCCCTACCACCGGTGCTGCAACCTTTAAAATAGGTGTAGAATACTTCCTTTGACTCTGCCCCGAGGGGCGAGAGCACCGTCTTGCCCTTCCTGTTGTTTGGAGCAACACCGAAAAATGCTTCGACGGCAACCTGAGCAACCTGGTTTGAAATATGAACAGCTCGATGAGCCCAGTCAGTCCAGCCATTAGGGTTCCCGGGCAGCCACTTGTTGCCATTCTGAGCCGAAAAGTGACCCATGTTGGTACCTGCAACTGCGGTGCGGTATCGAGCCATGGTCTGCTTCATCTCTGGGTATGCGACAGCACCACGCTGACCACCGCCAACGATGAAAACCAGGCGCTTGTTCCAGGCATCAGCACAAGCACCCTTGAAGCTAGACAAGGCGGAAACAATTTTGTGCTCTTCGGGAGGTCTGTTTTGCTTTGTGTCGATAGCGTTGTTGTCGGATTTGGGTCGCTCCTTGCCGGTGGTGTCGTCGACTAAGGGCATCCAGACTTCGAACTGGGCCTTGTTGCCACCAGGAGTGGTCTCGAACATACCTCCGACTCGACAAAAGGCAGGAAGGCCACCCTCGGTGCCGTAGGAGGCGTGAGCCTCTTCGCCGTAGCCCTGGTCAGCCACGGCGGTGTCCTTGCCCCATCCATTGGATGCCGAGATGGCACCCTCTTTGTCATCGAAGGGACCATAGGCCGACTCAGGAATGGCTTCGTACAGCTCTTTGGCAGAGGGGTTGGAGCCCGCGGGATAGTAGAGAGCATATGTGTCGCTGGTAACAAGCGGCTTGCCATCGAGTGCAGCACCTGCAGACAGAAGCTGCTCAAGAAGATTGGGAAGGTCCTTGCAGCTCTCCGGGTCGTTGAACGATTCGGAAGAGGCAGCTGAGGCCCTCTTGACAATTGTGCCATTGGAAGGAAGGACTGCGATTGCCAAGGCAGCAGCAACAGCTGCCGCCCTGAGATTGACGGAGTGTTTCATGGTAAAGACCGTGGGGAGCGAATACGGGGGGTGCGATTGGAGGGAGATGGATGAGGCAACATGGCAGGGTGTAGATTTAGTTCAGCAAGACCTTATATATGGTCCACGCATTCGAACCCAACCCAGGCGTCCCTCGCTGCTAATGAAGCACCGGGTCCCCGTCCGAGTGTTTGCATAAAGCTCCTGCGACCAGCTCGACATGTTGCGCTGGCTGGATTCCTCCCACAATGAAGGCACACGTATCAGCAAATCGGAGTTTTTGTGGGTAGTGGGCAGTGAAGTCCCCACCAAGCCTTCGAAGGGATTGCTAGGCAAGCAGCCCTGCTTGCTGCGTATCAACGATGGTTGATCCACACCACGATGAGCTGGATGGCCAGCTAACGTTAATGAGGCCAGCGAGCTCATCATCTGCCGAAGACCGCGTTCGCGGATGTGCTTGCGCTTAGCCCTAAAGGTCTGAGAATGTTGGCGAAGATGAAGACCAGAATGCTCTAAGTACCAAAGCCATCAATTTATGTGCTGGCTGTGAGAAACTGACCTCAGACGATCGCTTGGAAAACGGCGTCTAATGACGAGTAGAGTTGGGACCGAGCTCGAAGAGGCTGATCTAGGCTGCAAAGCCATCAGCTTGGGAGCCAAGAGGCGACTGTGCATATTCGTGGCGACTCCATTTTGGAGAACGGTTCGTTGGCAAGATGTGGTGGGAGCTGAGCCAAAGGGCTAGCTAGCGAAATGAGATGCAGTCGAGAAGCCAGCAAAGACAGGGCCGTGGAGTTGGGTAATCGCTTTTTACAAGTCGAAGAGCGTTGTCGAGATCAATCGAAGGTGCGTCAAAGTCAGTGATCACAAGTATCAATTGCGATAATGAATCTCTTCTAGGTACATGATGAATCAAGTGTTTATATATGCCTCAATCCTCTTCATGTGCATGTGTGATACTAAAGGCTAATAGGGCAGGAGCACAAAGGAGTAAATGAGAGGTTGAGGAGGAAAACACTGGGTGTCTAACAACCAGCATCTTGAGGTCTGGCAATTGGCCCAGACAATGCACTAAGTCTGAGTGAGCAAAGTTGGTGATTGGATGTGTGGGCTTGGTGAAGGTTGCATTTGCATGCTTCAATCACCAAGGTATCACATACTTCAACTCCCCTCCTTGCCAACAGAGTGACTGTACAATCCCATACTAACAATTCCAAGGCAAGTCCAGGTATGTGATAGGAGTTTTCCAGAAATGGGCTTTGTGAGAAAATTGGCAATGTTGTCTTTGGTCTTAACATATCTAATTGCAACATCCCCTTCTTGTACATGGTCTCGGATGAGATGGTATTTTGTGTTGACATGCTTGAGTTTGGAATGCATGGCTTGGTCCTTTGCCACTTGAATACAGCCTGTGTTATCCATAAAGACAATAGGAGTGTGGTCTCCAAACCTGAGTCCACAGAGAAGATGCCTGTGGAATAGAGCTTCTCTGGTGGCAGCTGAACTGGCAATATATTCAGCCTCAACTGCTGAGCTGGCCACACATTTCTGGATGTGGGAGTTCCAGGTGACAATTATTACAGGGGCAATGGATCAACATATGAAGGGTGCACCAAATTGACTGACAGCATTCATGGTAATGTCACAGGGTCAACAGATCAATGTATGAAGGGTGTGCCAAATTGATTGGTGCCAAATCATTGGGAATTGATGAAGTTAATTGGGTTGGTAGCACATATGATTTACAAGATCAACTGAATTCTGGGTTCTAGGTTAATCTCACGAGGATCGATCGGGATCAGCTGGATCAGCATGCTGTCAGAGGTCGCGTGCCTGAAACCTGAGATCGGTAGTAGTATCGATACTATTACCAATTCTGTCAAGTTATGCAACAGCACTTGTGGTATTGCGATTCCTGGCGAGATATGTAGTAAAGCCATCTCTATTACTTTTCTTGCTCAAATCTGTAGTTGTATGAATGCTATTGCAGATTTCGACTGACCACTGTCAAACACTCCATCCAGAGGTAGCTCAGCATGATCAATAACAATGTGAACTTGTACTGACACCAAGGTCTGGTGTGAGAGTGATTGTTGGTGGTGCTGACACGAGTGTCCAGTGTGTTGACTGCTGCTTGAGGTGATCCCTGGACTGCAGTGGATGACTGCCTTCAGTTCTATCTAATCCAGACTGCTGGTTTGCTATGAACTGCCTTCAGATGTCAGTGAGCAGTGATACAACACATGCACTACAATGAGGAGCAATCTATTGATTACTACTATGCTGACTGAAAACTAATGTACTTATGCTTCTGAAGTAATACTAGTTTATATGGTGTGTAGAGTGGATGGGGATCCACTTGACCATTTGTGATGAGAAGGTATGATTATATATCTCTTTGCAGCATTGCCAGTGACACTGCTCCTGCTCTCCCTCTCCAGAGAGTACCCTCTTCGTCAAGTACTGTACAGGAATCTCCAAGGAGACTCCTCCTCCTCATCGAGCCTTGTCACTCCTGTCCTTCCTGAGCTGTGTCGACTCCATTGACACTGCTCCTCCTCCTCATGTCCTTCTCACCAGTGTCCTTTACACAGCTCTCCTTCCTTTGACTGGCAATGGTTCTCCTTTACTCCTGTCCTGTGTGCCCCTGAGTGGTAACTGACCACATGTCACTGAGCTTGGTCCCTTTATTGGCAAGGCTTGGTCCTCAGCTTGGTAGAGCTTGGTCCCCTTCATACTAGAGCTGTGGTGCATTCTGCATGTGAATTGTCATATGGACATTCTTGTCACTGATCTCTGCAGAATCTGCCACACAATCGTGCTTGCTGCAGATTCTGGCAGGATTCATGATATTGATGATGCTCATGCCGATTTTCGCTGAGATCTGTCATAGAGCTGATTCTACTGCCGATCTTGGTGAACTCTGCTGCAAATCCTACATTCTGGCCAATCCCTCGATTCCTGCGCTGCCTTCATATGAACTTCGGTTCTTCCTTCTTCTCTGCGCATCCAGGCCCATGACACATGCCTCAGCAAGTCGGCCGACACAAGCAAGTGTCAGGAGATTCAGGAAGGAAGATACTGGCATTAGAAGGAGAAGCATACAGAGATAACCATATGTAGGAGCAGGGGACCAAGCTCAACATCATGGAGGTGGTTACTGCTCAAGGGGTATGTGCATATAGCCACACAGGATCAAGCACAGGGGCAACCACATGACCAAGGGGTTTGGTCATGAGGTCCAACAAGTGGCTAAAGGGATTCACAAGTTAAGGTCAAGAAGGTGGTTGCCAGTAAAGAGAGAAGGAGCTGTGAATGGAGATTGGTTAAACAAAGAGGAGGAGCTGTGTTGAAGGGGTTGTCACACATCATCAGGCAGAAAGAGAGCATGAAGGCAAAAGGGCAGTGTTGCATAACCATTACACTGTGCAAATGGTAGGGGTGCAGCATCAATGGGATCAACACCAGCAGGAGAGACAGTGTTGAACAGGGGACAAAGGCCCCTCAGGAGGAGTGGTATAGGTGTCACAGGTGACACCAATCAAACACATAAATACTCTCATTCTACCATAGTAAATGAGCGGATCCTCATCCACTCTACTTACTTACTTTATACTCTACTCTTTACTTGACTCCTAGTTATGTATCATTGCAATAGCAGTGCTTTTGCAATGACCCTCAAATGTGTGTGTTGTATCACCATTAGGTGTCAACTGTAGTTGGTGTTCTCTAAGCACTTGCAGTCCAGTTCTCCACTGTAGGCAGTGTTCTTCAACACTTGCAGTCCAGTCCCTTACTGTAGGCAGTGTTGCTTGACACCTGTGGTCCAGTCAGTTATTGTAGGTGGTGGCTCACACCTGTGGTCCAGTAACTCCCATCTGTCATGGGCCTGAATGCTCAGGAAGCAGGAGGGTCACTGGTTCATATGGAAGGAGCACAGGTATCAGAGATCTAGTCGATACCAGTAGAGAGCATGGTCATAGTGCAATCTCCATGGAGACCATGGACTCCTATGGACTCACATGCAAAGGAGCACTGAGCCATATGCGAGGAGGGCCAGGCACAGCCACGAGGAGGACCAAGCTCAAGGAGCAGGCACAGCCATGAAGAGGACCAAGCTCAAGGAGCATGCAGATGATTCCCACTCAGGGGCTTGAGAGACAAGAGTCAAAGGAACCATCACTGGTCAAAGGAGAAGGAGCAGTGTATAGGAAACTGGCAAGCAGGTCCTGAGGAGGAGAAGCAGTGTCGAAGGAGTTGACACAGCCCAGGAGGCACAGGGGTGCCAAGCAAGCAGGATAGCAAGGAGGAGGAGCAGTGTTGAAGGAGTCGATAGCTCAAGGAGGACAGGAGTGGTGCTAGAGGGGCCCCCTTGTACAGTACTCGATGAAGAAGGTACTCTCTGGAGAGAGAGCAAGAGCAGCATCGCTGGCAACGCTGTGAAGAGGTATATAACCATACTTTCTCATCATCAAAGGTTGAGTGGATCCTCATCCACTCTACACACATCATAACTAGTTATCACTTCAGCATAAGTATATATTAGTTTCAGTCAGCATAGCAGCAATCTATCAAGGTTGCTCCTCATCATAGTGTGTGTGTTGTATCACCACTACCTGATGTCTGAAGGCAACCCATAGCAGGTCAGCAGTCCAGATATAGATAGAACCAAAGGCAGTAGTCCACTGTGGTCTGGGGATCACCTCAAGCATCAGTCAACACACTGGACACTTGTGTTGATGCCACCAACCTTATCACCAACACCATCAACCTTATCACCAACACCATCAACCTTATCACCAACACCATCAACCTCATCATCATCAACACTCACACCAGACCTTGGTGTCATCATAACCTATGTATTGATATTGATCGTGCTGAGCTACCCCTGAACGGAGTGTCCACAGAGCTCAGCCAAAACCTATGATAGTATATACAACGAATGCCACCCACTGCCATTGCACAACTTGATAGTTGCTGAACGACTAGCTCATCAAGACCAATACCAAGACAATAGCTGTCGCACAGTTTGATAGTCACTGAGTATCTCGACAGACCGACCTGGGTTTCAGGCGCGAGACCCCTGACACCATCCTCTGTAGGTGATAAGTATATTGTGGTCCAGATGACATCCAAGAGCATTATCAACAGCACTGTGAACACTCATACTGTAAGGAGAGGGTATCACTCACTCTCCAACAAACAGTGAACATGCCATGCAACCTCTGAATGGAGTGTTCAAGGTGGTCAGCTGAGACTTACCCGTCAGAGACATCTGGTTATGTTTAGTCAAAACATACCAAGTAGACCTTACTCATTCAATCCCATCTATACCAATCAAATAACACCCAAAACTAGTCTCTGGCGCGCGACCGCTTACAACAATGCTGCCGAAAACCTTTACTATCAAACCTGAAGTGCTCTTTCAATCTGCATTGGGGTCCGAAGCCCAGTTCGCATCTGTATAGGTTTCAATGGTGTTTCCAATGGTATCTGCTCCACTGATATGCAATATGTTGTCTTGAGTCTGGTTCAGATATTTGACAATGCATAGTGCTGCCAGCATTGTCTCTTCAGTTAGTTGAGACATGTGCCATGCAAGTGTATTGACTGCATAGCAGATGTCTGGATGGACAGTGTTCAATACCCAGAGCAGCTTTCTGTCAGGGGTCTCGCGCCTGAAACCCAGGTCGGTCTGTCGAGATACTCGGTGACTATCAAACTGTGTGACAGCTATTGTCTCGGTATCGGTGACTATCAAGTTGTGCAGTGACAGCAGGTGGCGTTCGTTGTATATACTATCGTAGGTTTCGGCTGACCTCTGTGGACACTCTGTTCAGGGGTAGCTCGGCACGATCAATATCAATGTTATGATGACACCAAGGTCTGGTGTAAGTGTTGATGATGATGAGGTTGATGGTGTTGGTGATGAGATTGGTGATGTCAATGATAATGAGGTTGATGGTGTTGGTGATAAGGTTGGTGGTGTCAACACGAGTGTCCAGTGTGTTGACTTGATGCTTGAAGTGATCCCCAGACCGCAGTGGACTACTGCCTTCGGTTCTATCTTGATCCGGACCGCTAACCTGCTATGGGTGCCTTCGGACATCAGGTAGTGGTGATACAACACACACACTATGATGAGGAGCAACCTTTGATGGATTGCTGCTATGCTGACTGAAACTAATATATACTTATGCTGAAGTGATAACTAGTTATGGTGAGTAGAGTGGATGAGGATCCACTCGACCTATTGATGATGAGAAAGCATGGTTATATACCTCTTCTCAGCATCGCCAGCGATGCTGCTCCTGCTCTCTCTCCAGAGAGTACCTTCTTCATCGAGTACTGCTCAGGGGCCTCTCCTGCTTGGCACCCCTGTGCCTCTTGAGCTGTGTCGACTCCTTCGACACTGCTCCTCCTCCTCATGACCTGGTGTCGACTCCTTCTACACTGCTCCTTCTCCTTTGATCAGTGACAGTTCCTTTGGCTCTTGTCTCTCGAGCCCCTGAGTGGTAACCATCTGCATGCTCCTTGAGCTTGGTCCTCTTTGTGGCTGTGCCTGCTCCTTGAGCTTGGTCCTCTTCGTGGCTGTGCCTGCTCCTTGAGCTTGGTCCTCCTCGTGGCTGTGCTTGGCCCTTCTTTGCATGTGAGTCCGTAGGAGTCCATGGTCTCCATGGAGACTGCACTACAACCATGCTCTCTACTGATCTCGACTAGATCTTCGATACCTGTGCTCCTTCCATATGAACCCGTGACCCTCCTGCTTCTTGAGCATCCAGGCCCATGACACTTTCCTACAAGTGCGGGGTAGGTTTCCTTTAGTTTGCCACCATTCATGAGGTCATCAGTCACCTTTGTGGGAGTGGTTGTCATTGGTATCCAGGTCTTTTCATCAGGTTCTATCCATTCCTTGATGATTTCCTTGATGTATACTCATTGATCCAGATCCATGGTGTGTTTCACTCAGTCCCTCATAATCTTAATCTTCAAGAACTCCATCACTGGTCCATTGTCCTCAATCTTCCCTTTATGGAGGTTCACTTGCTTCACTTCATCTACCTGCGACCTATGTGGGGCTGTAATGAGCATATCATCCATGTACATGACAATAATGACCTGTTCCTGCCCTGCTTCTTTTGAATATACACATGGTGCTCCCCAGACTGAAAAGAATCCTGTCAGGGGTCCCGCGCCTGAAACCCAGGTCGGTCTGTCGAGGTACTTGGTGACTATCAAACTGTGTGACAGTTATTGTCTCGGTATCTGTCTCGACAAGCTAGTTGTTTGGTGACTATCAAGTTGCACAGTGACAGCAGGTGGCATTCATTGTATATACTATTGTAGGTTTTGGCTGACCTCTGTGGACACTCTGTTCAGGGGTAGCTCGGCACGATCAATATCAATGTGTAGATTATGATGACACCAAGGTCTGGTGTGAGTGTTGATGATGATGAGGTTGATGGTGTTGGTGATAAGGTTGGTGAATGTCAATGATAATGAGGTTGATGGTGTTGGTGATGAGGTTGGTGGCATCAACACAAGTGTCCAGTGTGTTGACTTGATGCTTGAAGTGATCCCTGGACCACAGTGGACTACTGCCTTCAGTTCTATCTTGATCTGGACCGCTAACCTGCTATGGGGCGCCTTCAGACGTCAGGTAGTGGTGATACAACACACACACTATGATGAGGAGCAACCTTGATAGATTGCTGCTATGCTGACTGAAAACTAATGAGTACTTATGTTCCTAAAGTATTGACTAGTTGTGATGATGTGTAGAGTGGATGAGGATCCACTCGACCTTTGATGATGAGAAAGCATGGTTATATACCTCTTCACAGCATTGCCAGCGATGCTGCTCCTGCTCTCTCTCCAGAGAGTACCTTCTTCATCAAGTACTGTTCAGGAGGCCTCTCCTGCTTGCTTGGCACCCCTTTGCCTCTTGAGCTGTGTCGACTCCTTTGACACTGCTCCTCCTCCTTGCTATCCTGCTTGCTTGGCACCCCTGTGCCTCCTGAGTGGTGTCGACTCCTTCGACACTGCTCCTCCTCCTCAGGACCTGCTTGCCAGTTTCCTATACACTGCTCCTTCTCCTTTGACCAGTGATGGTTCCTTTGACTCTTGTCTCTCAAGCCCCTGAGTGGGAACCATCTGCATGCTCCTTGAGCTTGGTCCTCTTCATGGCTGTGCCTGCTCCTTGAGCTTGGTCCTCCTCGTGGCTGTGCCTGGCCCTCCTCGCATATGGCTCAGTGCTCCTTTGCATGTGAGTCCATAGGAGTCCATGGTCTCCATGGAGATTGCACTATGACCATGCTCTCTACTGGTATCGACTAGATCTCTGATACCTGTGCTCCTTCCATATGAACCAGTGACCCTCCTGCTTCTTGAGCATTCAGGCCCATGACAAATCCCACATGTCACAGATGAGAGTCCATTTCCTTGTACCATTCTTGTCTGGATCGTTTAAGGCCATAGAGGCTCTTGAGTAGCTTATACACCTTTCGGGGGGGGGGGGGGGCATTTGTACCTTGGGGTGGTTTAAGGTAGATGTTGTGTTCTAGTCTTGCATTGATGTATGCTTGCTTTATGTCTATGGAGTCCAGTTCCCAATCAAGTTTCGCTGCTATTATGAGTACTGTCTGAATTGCATCCCTAGGTACCACTGGCACAAAGATCTCCATGTAGTCCAAACTCTCCCTCTGTGAAAATCCTTGAGTGCAAAGTCATGCCTTGAACTTGTATGGCACCCCATTTGCTTCTGCCTTGACATTGAGTACTAATTTCGAATCAATGAGGTGTGCTTTCAGTGGCATGTCAACAACTTCCCAGATGTTCATGCTTTCAAGGCCTTCCAGCTCAGCATGGATCACTTCATGCCAATGAGATTGGTCCAGTCTGGTGAGTGCCTCCTTCACTGTTGGTTTCAGATTTACAATGCTGGCCATATTTGCACTCATCTTGTGATGTGCAGCATGTGGCAATCCCGATATTTTTCCTTGATGGCAAAGTTTCTGTTGGAACTGATACAGTTCCCCTGGTGGGGGTAAGTGTGATTGGTAGATCTTCAGAGCCACTGTAACCATCATTGGATGGACCCATGGATGCACTTGCTCAGTTGTATGAAGGATATCACTATTTCCCATTTCTGTTGATACTGCAGTCATTATGGGTGCATGCTGATCTTCCTGGGTTGTTTGGTTGCTTTCATTGTCCAGTTGATGTATATCTTCAATTGGTCCTCATTGCTCCTCATCATGGATGTCTAGCTCAGTATAACCCATATCTTCAATATCTTCCATATGGTACTCAGGGTCCATGTTGTAACTTGGTATCACTTCTGTATGTTCCTCCCATGACTTACTTTCCAGGAATTTAGCTGCATTAGACCAAAATACTGTCAGATTGTGCTTTGGGGATATGAACTTCCACCCCTTGTGTTCTTCATCATATCTGATGAAGATGGCAGGTATAACCAGGTCATCAAGCTTCTTCCTTTTCATCTTAGGCACATGTACCCAGGCAAGGCATCCAAAAGTGCAAAGCATACTGAATGATTTCTTGGGGTCTCTATCATAGAATACATGATATGGAATGCAACCTTGGACATTTGGTATCAAGTTCTTCATGAAAACTGCCACTTTGACTGCAAATGGCCAGAAAGTCTGGGGTAGGCTATGAGACTGCATCATTACCATCATCATGTTCTTGATTGTCCTTATTGTCCATTCTGCCTTTCTGTTTTGCTTGCTGTTGTACATTGATGTCTTCTGCCATTGAAATCCTGCATCATTCTGCCATGCAATCATGTTTGCATTGATCCATTTCATTCCATTATCAGATTGGAGAGCCTTGAGTTTGTGTCCAGTTTGGGTTTTGGCTTAGTTGATCCATTCTTTCAATACTTGTAGTGCATCAGCCTTTGAACATAGAGGCTTGATGTATGTGAAACTGGATGCATCATCCACTGCCACCAATATGGAGGTGAATTCTGTTTTTGTCAAAAAGTGTATTGCCAAGTCAACATGTATAAGCTCTAATGGGTGCTTGGTGCATTCACCACAGCTTTGTCCCATCTGTGCTTTCATTGACTTGCTCACCATGCAATCTTGACATTCATATGGTTTAATCTTGATATTGTATACATTTTCTAGTATTCAGCTTTTGTCTTGGCCAGGGTGACCACATTGTTCATGAATGAAGTCCCTGGTGAAACTTTGTGGTTTTGGTGGGTCATTGATGTCTAGTTGTTCTGGTAGGTTGTTCATTTCATTGTCTATTGTTGATATAAGGGCTTCTGGCTTTGTTGGGTGGATTTCCCAATGCCTTGTATGGGTATTGGTATGTCCTTTCACCTCATGACCATTGGGCCACTTAAGGTGTGCATTATCTGGATTGAACATCACATGTACACTGTCATTTGTTAGAGCTCACACTGACATTAGATTTACACTTGCTTCTGGAACATAAAGTACATTGTTAAGATATACTTTGTGTCCATCAACATTGACAATGGTTTGACCTCTAGCCTTGATTCCAACTAGCATTCCACCAGCAGTTTTCACAAATCCAGTGCATGGAGATGAGGAAATAAGAATCATATTGTCATTTGTAATGTGGTTGGTTGCCCCTGAATCTATAACCCATGTATTGGGTTGCTGTCTCAAGGGAATGTGATATGCTGATGTGACAGTGCACCAGATTTCCTAGATAGGTGTTTGATTGTTCCTCAACCTGGGGGCAGGATTGGTGTTGTTGTTGGTTTGGGATTTGCTGTTTGGATTCTTGGGGCAGAAATGACTGATGTGGTTTTCTCCCTGACAGTAATAGCATCTTCAATGGCCATCAGGACCTGGTTTGCCCATGCTGTAGGGTTCTTGGTTCATGATTTGCCCATCAGCGACAAAAGCTTGTGTGGTCTTGCCATCAGTCCTATGGCTTGGTTTCATTGCCATGTCATCTTGTCATTTGAACAGGGCTGCACAAATCACATCATAGTCTGTTCCTCAGCCATTATCTTGCAGGTTCATGATGCAGTTATTGTATGCAGTCATGACACTTGCCTGATTGATGAGAGTTCTGATCTTGAGAACTCTTGTCAGGTTGAAACCCATGGCTTTGGCCTTGGCCCAATGCTCATTCAGGTCAGTGGAGAATTTACAGACATCCACATTAAACATATGGATCCTTCCAGCTTCATAGAGGAGGGTTGATTTGGCAATGTGCTCCATCTTGGTGAGGTCTTTCTTGAGTTGGGTGTATAATTTGTGGGTCCTCCATGATTCAGTATTTGCAGATCATATGAACAAATAGTTCATGTTATCCTGACTGATGAGCTTTGCATTGCTCTGGATGATTGTACAGAGTTTTGCATCCAGTTTTCAGTCATACCTCTTATCACCTGGTTTGGTGGTGCTGTTGAGGTGCTTAAGGGCCAGGGACCACAAGGCCAATATGTCCTGGAAACAAGGGTCCCAGGCATACCAGTTCTTCATGGTTAGTTTGGGGGTGTCCTTTAGTGCATCATTGAGTTGGGTCACTTCATGGAGGAAACTACAGTGCTTGGAAGGTAGCTTATACAAGGAGGTCTTGGCTCATTTGCATAGGGTAGATTGTGTGATGATGTTCCAGAGGGTGTTGATATTCATTTTGTTGATGTTGTTAAGGTCAAGCAGAGGTTTGTTTGGTTTGCTGTCATTGCTATCAGAATTGTCAGAGGAGTCAGTATTGGGTTTGGCAGTTCTTTGATGCTCTGCAGGTACCAGAATCATTTTGGCCTGATCATCAGAGGAGTCCTCAAGTGAGGGGTCATTGGCAGGATGTGGCTCGTTGGGTTGCAAAGGCATGGTGTTGAGGATTGTGTGGCAAGAGCACTCAGACTCTTAATCAGTTGAAGAGTTTCATCAAGATCAATCAGTAGTGTGTTGAAGTCAATGACCACAAGTGTTGATTGCAATAATGAATCATTCCTAAGTACATGATGAATCAAGTGTTTATATATGCCTCAATCCTCTTCATGTGTGTGTGTGATACTAGAGGCCAATAGGGCAGGGATGCAAGGGAGTGAATGAGAGGTCAAGGAAGAAAACACCAGCTGCCTGGTGACTGGCATCTTGGGGTTCAGCAATCAGCCTGGGCAATGCACTGAGTCCAAGCAAGCAACATTGGTGATTGGATGTGTGGGCTCGGCGAAGGTTGCATTTGCATGCATCTATCGCTGAGGTATCACATGCTTCAACTTGTTCTGTGCATTGATTATGATTTCATTGAGGTGCGGTTGCAAGAAACCTTCTCCTTCCACGGCACAAAAGCCAAATTCGTTTTGAACCTTTCTAGATCAGTGCAGCGGCTTGAGACTCAGATGAGCTCACTATCCTCAGTAATCAACCCGATTCTCGCCCTCCACAACTCTTCTTTGAGCTTTGTAACTTCAGTCCACATCTTATCTTCCCATTCCATCGAGTCTAGTTTGTCGAGGTAGATGGCTGTTGCTGCTGGAATGACGGCGGGTGTGGAGGTGCGTGGTGGGAGTTCTGGTGCGCCTGTTCCTATCGGGGCAGCGGGAAGAGGACGGTTGTGACGACGTGGCGGGATCTTGGGCATAGCCCCTGTAGTGCCGGCAGGAGAGGGTGAAGATGCGCCTGTTACACGTGCTACTGACCGTGGAGGGAGTGCAGGAGGCACGGAAGTGCCAGTTTGTTCTGCTTCGGCCGGCCTTTCCGCGCTGTCCGCCTCAGAGGGCTTCTCTGCAGCGTCAGCTTCGGTCGCTGGTGCAGCCTCCTTGTCATCTGAAGACTCATTGGTCGCCTCGTCAACAGCTGCAGTATTCTCGTTGATGGTCTCGTCCACCTTGGCCGTGTCGCCGGCCTTGGCTTCAGTGGGAGAGGATGGGGTATCGGCAAAGTCGTCGTCGTCAACGGCAGCCTTTTTATCAGATCCTGGCGACTCAGATTCCTTGGCTTCCTCCTTCTCCTCTGTCAGCCCGGCCAGGTCCTTCTCCTTTGTGTCGTCATCCGTCTTCTCTTGCACTTTCTCCTTGATCTTCTCTGCTTCTGTCTTTTCTGCTTCCTCCTTTTCAGCATCCGTCTTCTCAGCATCGACCTCCTCTACTCCGGTTTTCTCGGCTTCCTCTTTCTTAGTCTCAGCCTTCTTCTCGTCCGCCTTTTCGACATCAGCCTTGTCAGCCTCCGCCTCCTCGACGGCCTTCTCCAGTGTCTCCACCTCCACGCTCTTTGCACCTGCCACCTCCTTTGGCGAGCTGTCAGTTGAAGCATTCGCTGCTGGAGACAAGGCAGCTGCCTGCTGCTGTTGCTGCTTTTCATTCATAAACTTGCCCTCCAACACCACCGAGCGTTCAAGATTGCGTACAAAGCCCCAGTACTGGCAGACAGCGCGAAGACGCAAGAGACAGTGGTGCGGGCACAGCAGATAGCGTGTCGGTGAGCTTTCACTCAGTCGGAAGATGTGGGTTGGGACCGGAAGATTGAAAGGCATGAGTGTCTCGCTCGGCACGATGGCCTGCGTCTCATTTTCGGCTCCTGCCGGCACAGAGGCGTTGACGGTCGTATCAAGCTGTTCTGCTGACTTGTTCTGAGCAGACGACTTCCTAAATGAGGCGAAGAGACCTCCTCGGGAAGGCTTGGGGGTGAGGGTGCCGGAACTGCTGTTGTTGTTGCTACTGCTGCCAGTGATGGATCCGAGCGAACTGGCTGCGGAGCTGGCCCAGCTCGAGGTTGCCGTCGCAATGCTGCTTGTCACGAGCGAGGTCTTGCCACCTTGCTCTGCAGACATGGACGTTGCTGCGACACCTCCAGGCAACGGCACATTCACGACAGGAATGCCACACATAGCGCAGGCGGCTGGCGGCAAGTGTGCATTCTCTGTGCGGATCGCGGCTTCGTCGATTGTCCTGCTTCTAGAGAAGATGGGTTCGATGACAAGGTTGCCGTCCAAGATGGCGACGTTGGCTTGCCGTCTACTCAACCAATTCAGACCAGGTGCAAAGTCGAGGCGGAGACACGGCTCTACATCCTCTTCCTGCGATCGCTTAATGAAGGGCAGAGAGAGTTGACTTGGCAGCGACACGACATTCTCGACATTCGACGGCAAAGTAGGATAGTCACGGTGTCGACTTACACCTGCGATGGCAAAAGGCGAGCTGGTGAACGCGCTCCCAATGCCTTGGCTGTAAGCTGTTGATGCAGTGATGATGGAGTTGGTGGTCGCAGAGCTGCCCGTCGCCTGTTGTGGCGCAGGTGAGACGGTGCGTGGCGTCGGGGTACTGCTCAGAGAGTCGCGCCAACCATGTGGGAGAGGGTACGTGTAGAACGGTGCGAGCTGTTTGCGGAGCTTGCGAAGATGTGCGATGAAGGATCGGAACTCTTGGTAGGGAACAATGTTGATAATGAGACGGGCTTCGGCTGCAAGATCGACTGATGGCTTGTGTTTGCGCTCTCTTGTCGCTGTCCTTTGCGAGATGGACCGAGCCAGAGACGAAGTCTTGAGACGGTGGAAGCTGACAGCATCGCTCTCCATCGTGATCATCGAAGCAGCGTCATCGCCGTCCTTTCTGGAGCCGCTAATCTGTAACTTCTCGACCTGACGTTGAAGATCGGCAAGAACTTTCTGCTGTTCGAGCATGATCCCTTCTGTATCCTTGAGACGCTCTTCCATGTTACGGCTCTTCTCCTCCGCCCTTGCACGTGATAATCGCTCGACGGCAACCATCTTGTTGGCTTCGCTGAAAAGGCTGGAGCTAAGCTCGTCAAGTTCGGCCTCGATCTTGCTCTTGTCGCTTTCGGCTTTACCACGCTGTGCTGTTTCCTCGATTACACGATCCATCATCCTCTGCATTTCGTTGCTGACATGGGCCTTTTCGACCAGGAGGCCGGTGTTGAGAGCGTCAAGATGCTCGGCTCGCTCCTTCTCGAGCTCCTTGATTTTGGCGGACATAATTCGGACCCTCTCCTGCGCATCCGAGTAATCATCTTCGAGGTCGGCGATGCGATTGAAGGATTTGACGAGCTTTTCGTTGAGACCCGTGACTTGGTTGATGAGATCCTTGACTTGAGCTTGCAGCGCTTCTGTCGACATGTTGGCCAGAGAAGCGGAGGCATCGATGTTCTGATCTGGTGAGAGCGCTTGAGGTACTGGATGAGGACTGTTGGTAGACTGGCTGAAGATAGCAGAAGTAGCTGAAGCGCGCTTGAGCACAACTGCTTCGTAGTCATCGTCATTTGGTTCCATGCTTGAGTTGCGCTTCACAGCTGCATCTGACGACTCTTGGCCAAGCACTTGGTCTGGATTGGCGTCGTCGGCCAAGATCGAGTCCGGATCCATCCTTTGCAGTTGCAACTCAGATGAGGAGATAACAGTGTCGGCTGCTACCGCCTTGTTACTGCTCGTAGAGCGCTCCGGCTCAGCTTCGGATGAGGCCGACATCGGATCTGCCGACGATCCTAGACCTTGAGGCGAGCGAGAGCGTGTGACTGAGCTGCCGAGTGTAGCGATGTACGGGCGTAGCCAGACGCAAGCAGCTTGCTTGTTCAAGTGATGTCCTGATTCAATGTGAAAATGACGGAAGGAAGAGAGAGGCGCTAGTTCGACAGGGATATCCGACACTTCGAACCTTGAGAGTGAGACAAATGTGCGTGAGAGTCGCTTGGGCTTGTTGCGGAAATTGGAAGGCTAATTCTCGGCTGCAGCCCGCCGCTCCACGTCCACACGGGGGTTTCAATTTTTTTTGCCTTCGAAAACTAGAGTATTCCAATGTTGGAGATTGCGATCTGGTCCGATCTAGGAATAATGTAGATCAGGTCTGTAGAGGATCGGGCAAAGCAGGCTCAGTTGGCAATCAGATAAAGTAGGTCAGATTGGGATTGGATGAGGCAAATTGGACAGATAATCAGGCTGAATTGATACAAGACAGAGATCAGACACAACCATGTCCCACACATTGTTATACACTGTCATTAGGTAGGATACACCCACTGTTGGGCATGTGCCACATGTTTGTATATAAGTTTAGTAGGGAGCTCGAGGCTCCCGCCACATTCACCTTCAGTATGTCAATATAGTATAGTGTTTTGTGTCATGGGACGGGATGCACAGGAAGCAGGAAGATCCATCAAGTCATATGAAGGGAGCACGGTGTTACGGGATCGGGAAATCGGGTAACCAAACCGAACATAGTGAGCAGCAAAACCATTACACCAGCTAGACCCTTAGCTGGTGTACCCAATTCACACAACACTGAAGTATAAGCATTTTCACTCCCAAATGCTCTGGACTCGGAGAACGGAATTCCTATTCTGGTAACACACGGGAATTGAGGAATCGGGCAGATTGTGGGACTTGCAGTAGAGTCCACTGAGATCTGTAGAAGAAAAGGCTCTAAGGCAGATCTCACCTAGATTGGCATGAGCAATAAGGGTATCATGAATTCTGCCAGAATCTGCAGTACACAGGATCATATGACATATCCCACAGAGATCAATGGCAAGGATGTTTGCATGATAAAGGTTAAGGGGCAAGGACATCTGAGGTTGCCACCAGATGAGGTAGGGGCCCTACATGGCATTGAAGTCAGCGCCAGCAGGTGGGTGCCAACAACAGGGGAGTGATGAAAAGGGGGTGAGTTGCCACTCAAATGAAGTGGGACTGGCCCCTGCTGGAGGTGAGGCAGCGAGAGGCCCATCCATCCACAGGAGACAAGGGAAGCGGTGACAACAAGTAGCATTACAAGGTGGATGGGAAGTATAGGAGGAATGAGGAGGATGAGCAGTGTTGCAGGCAACATTGCAAGAAAGGTATATAACCATGTTCTCTGTCCTAGCAAGTGAGTGGATTGCCATCCACTCTACACCATACATAACTAGTTATCACTTCAGCATAAGTATACATTAGTTTCAGTCAGCAAGTTGCAATCATAATAGATTGCTTCCATTGTAGTGCATGTGTTGTATCACTGCTCACTGACATCCAAAGGCAGTTCATAGAAACCTGCAGTCTGGATAACAATTGACACTGAAGGCAGTTCCTAGCAACCAGCAGTCCAGCTCACGATCATAGAACTGAAGGCCATCATCCACTGTGGTCCAGGGATCACTTCAAACACTCAGTCAACACACTGGACAGTCATGTTGGCATCAACAATATCATTCACACCAGCTCTTGGTGTCTTTGTAATACATTCATTGTTATTGATCATGCCAAGCTACCTCTGGACAGAGTGTCCACAGCAGTCAGTTGAAACCTGCAATAGCAAACACACTACTACATCTTTGGGCAAGAAAAGTCATAGAGGCTTCTCTACTACATATCTCAACAAGAACAGTAATACACAACATGTTGTCACCTATCTCAACAGGATTTGTAATAGACATGTTTCTACTACAGATATCAGGTTTCAGGCGCGAGACCTCTGACATGTAGTAACATCCCGCTTGTGCCAATTTGGACGAGATCTGTCATAGAACCACTTCTACTACAGATCTTGATGAACTCTGTTGTAACCCTTATTTTGCCCGATCCTATGATTCCTGTGCTCCTCTTCATATGACATCCATTCTTCCTGCTTCTGCGCATCCGACCCTATGACATTACCCCCCTCTTAAGAGCCGAGCTCCGTTGAGGCCCATCCTTGTGTGTCAAATGTCTGTCACAGGGTCGGCTGGCCAGCGCAAGAGAGTGCGCCAATTGATCAGCAGCAGTCATGGTAATGTCGCATAATGGAGCAGTATATGAAGGGTGCACAGAGGATCAACATATGAAGGGTGTGCCAGATTGATCAGAGCCAAAAACCATTGGGGATCAACGAGATTAATCAGGTTGGCAGTGCATATGAATTATGAGATCAATCAAACTCCAGGAATCCAGATCAATCTCACAGGATCAGTCAGGATCAGTTGGATCAGCATGCCTCAACTAGTTGGCCGATATGAGCAAGTACTCAGAGCTGTGCTGATGTGACCACATGACCAAGGGGTTGGGTCACGAGGTTCAACAAGCGACTAAAGGGATTCACAAGACAAAGTCAAGAAGGAGCTGTGTTGAAAGGGGGCATCACACATCATCAGGCAGAAGGAGAGCATGACAGCGAGAGGGCAGTGTTGCATAACCCTTACACCATGCAAACAGTAGGAGTGCAGTATCAATGGGATTGATGCCAGCAGGACAAGACAGTGCTGAACAGGGGACAAAGGCCCCTCAAGAGGAGCAGGATAGGTGTCATGGGCAACACCAACCAAATGCATAAATACTCTCATTCTACCATAGCATACGAGTGGATCCCCATCCACTCTTTACTTACTCTTTACTTACTCTTTACTTACTTATTTTACTTACTTACTTATTACTACTTACTTAGCTATGTACCATTGCAATAGCAGTGCTCTTGCAACAACTCTCAACATGTGTGTTGTATCACTGTTAGTTGACAACTGTAGGTGGTGTTCTTCAACACTAGTGGTCCAGTTCCTTACTGTAGGCAGTGTTCTTCAACACTTGCAGTCCAGTCCCTTGCTGTAGGTGGTGTTGCTTGACACCAGTGGTCCAGTTGGTTATTGTAGGCAGTGATTCACACCTGCAGTCCAGTAACTCCCATCCTCTGTAGGCAATTAGCATATCACAGTCCAGATGACATCCAAGAGCATTATCAACAGTACTATGAACACTCATACTGTAGGAGAGGGTGTATCACCCACTCACCAATGAACAAACATTCATGCTGTGCAACCTCTGAACAGAGTGTTCAAGGCAGTCATTTGAGACTTACCAGGTGGTGATGCTTGGTTATGTTTAGGTGAAACATATCGAGTAGACCTCACTCAATCAACCTCAGCTAGTCTCTGGCGCGCGACCGCTTACAATGTCCTTCTCCACCATCTCCTTCTCCTGCCACCATTGCCCCCCTCTTCTGCGGTTCAGTCATCATGCTGTACCAGCTTTGTTCTTGATCGGCACCTGGCACCCCTTCTACCAAACCCAAGGCTTCCATTCCCAAGTGTCATAGAATCATTCTTTACTTGCAGCCTCGTGATGCTCCAGTCCTGGAAGCAGTTCTTCCTCCTTCCTTGGTGGACCCAGCACCTCTGGAGCCCCTTTTCTTGGGTATCGACCCCAAGATGTGTTTGTTCTTGGGTGATGATGATGAGGTTGGGTCCTCTACATCCCCCATCATCCCTGCCTTGGTGCCCACTGGTTTGGGTCCTTCTGGTCAGGATTACTCCCCAACGTCGCCCCCTCAAGATCTTTACAACATCGATTCCAGATGTCCCCTGGTGGACCTTTCGACTCCTGAACATCAGGCTGCCTGGGAGGTGGAGTTGGCTCATTCCCCAACACCTCCTCCTACCACCAACAAAGTGATCAATGCAGTCTTGGCCTCCTCCAGGCCTGGTATGCCCATTTTCTGGCTGGAGGTACAACCCTTAACTCCTCCTCCTTGCTGGGTGGGTTGCCACATCCCACCTCCTTCTCCTCCCAACTGACACCTCCCTACCAATGGGGAGATTGCCAGCTGGTCCAAAAGGTTTGTTGTGGCTGACCTTGTGGCCCAGGTTGCTGATATGTACTTCCTGTGGGACTGGGATGTGCCTACCAGATCCTTGCCTGAGCACTGCCTACATCGTTTGGCCATGCTGCACCTGATGGAAGGCTTCATGCCATGGCCAAGCTGGCAATGTTGCTGGTGTTTCAACCTTGGTGTCCTGTAAGTACCTCCCTGTTGTCTCCTTCCTACTTTGCTGATGCTGACCCTCCTTGACTTTTCTCTTCCTTCAGCTGCTTTGCCTCTGCCTTCCCCAACCCTTTTGGGGAGCGCAACCAAATTCTGCATGCTTGTGTGCACTGCTACCTTGCTGGGTTGGGTCACTGCGAATGTGACATTCCTGCTCATCCAGGCCTGGAATATCCTGGCGATGGTACCCCCAGTCTACAGCCTTGAGGCTCGCACCATGCTGAATGAGCTCACCTGACTGTAGCAGGTGGCGACAGTCCTGGAATTGTTTGTTCTGAGGAGCAGGTGACCAATCCTGTCATGTCTCATGGCTGGGTGACTGTGATGTGAGTTGTATGGCATCTTCATCACCCCAAATTGGTAAGTTCTATCCTTTGGACACTCCAGCTCTTTGTTGAGCACCACAACTGTTTGTACTCAGAGCACCAGCCTCACAAGTCTGTGACAGAGGCTGGTGGCTCCCCAGACCCTATCAACTTGTGGGTGGAGCCCATGGTTGACAAGCAGTGGACTCATGTGGCCCTTGCTGCTCCTGTTGTTCCTTCTGGCTATGTCAACATGTAGTGACATAGCTGCAATCTCATCCTTTGTTCCTCTTGATCTCACTGAGCCTGTGACCTGCCTCTCATGAGATCCCTCATGACCCTGTTTGTTGGGTATTTTGTCCTTGACCTCTTTTGTGTGTGGTGAGAGGTTGCTGCCT